TTTCTGTTTTGGGGGCCTGTAGATTCACAGAACTAACAAATCATTGCTTCCTATCTTCACCTCGACAGCAATTGCCTCGAGGGTCTTGTAAGTCTTTGGCAGGGCCCGCTTCTTAGAAGGCAGAGCTGAAGAGAAGTATGCTAACAGTCCGCCTCCACCCTTTTTTCTGTCTTTTCTATACATGTGGTATCCTGGGAGGTTAAATTGACTGTTGGGATAGGAACTATCCACTTTTGTTTCAGATATTACTATAATATGTGCTCTAAGGGAATTGTTCAATGTTTTTAGTTCTTCAAATTTATTTTGTATACTATTGATGTTTAGATGAACAATAAGGGCTCCGCTTGAATTCCTTTTCCTTTCCTCAACGATTACTCTCCCAGGGGATTCCCGTATGCAGGGTTTCATTACGTCCAATGTATTTGCATAAACAGCTTCGCCAGCATTGTTATTTGCATAATCATCTTCCTCCACACTGTTATTTATCGAAACAAATTCTTCCTGTAGACAATCTTTCAAGCATTCTTCTTGGCTAAATGGAAGCAAGCAGAGAGAGCAGGTCCATTGTATTTCAGGGCAAACCTTGTACGACTTGAATTCAGCCTTTCTTAGGCCTATACATTTGACATGCGACCAAGTGTTACAACGAACGCACAACAAGGCCTCTTGGTTTGACCGAACAGTTTTCTCGCACTCCTTACACGGGTTTTTCGGCATTCTCTTACTTGAAGGCCCTGGATTTGTATGTACATCGCCACCTAAGACAATTCGGCTAAGCTGTAGGGTCCTCGTATCCTTCGCTGTATATGGAATTCTGAACGATAAATACATTTTGCCGCAACCCGCTCGAGTTCTCAAGCTCAAGCTCATCTTCAGTGGTATTAAAGCGGCCAGACGTTCTTGTCCTTCCTCGTTTTTTCCCAAATGAGCTGGTCTGTATAGGAGTTGTTTTTCGACTTTCTCCCGTATCATTAAAGCCGCTATGAGCGAGAACACAAAATATTTCAGCGAGCTCGGCAGTGCTCGACCGGTCGCCATGATGACTGCAGCAACTAGGTTACCTGCTTGTGTTCAGCGCCTGCTTGGAGGAACAGATGAGCTTTTTGATCATTTTTTGTTAGAAATTTAGATACTAAGGAACCTCACAATTCAAACATGCGGAGTAAACGTCCATGAGTTGATTGACAAGTGCTTTTTTTCCCTCTCCTAGGGTGCCGCCAACAAGGCAGAAAAAAAGAACGTGTCAGCGGAATGAATCAAATCTCTATCACTTTGAAAAAATTCTTGGGAACAGAAAAAATTACTTAGAGCAAACATTCTAAGTATAGTGTTCATTCCGTGCAATGGGGCATAAATAAAAGGTTCTGGTGGAAAATACATTTTATTTTATACCACTGATGACAAAAAAGCAAAAAGGTTATACGGGTACCCGGTTAAAAATATATTGATAACTCTATTAATTAATACCAGTTCTAATTTAGAGGAGAAAGTTATGAGAATAAAAGTTGTCTGTACCATAAAATATCCCTTCACTGTTTAGACTGATAGTCCTAGAGCTTTTTGAGCATGCATTCGAATATCTTATGACGATAAGCCCGCCAACCACCCCACCCCGCGCTATGCTGTTTTCACTTAGCGGCTGGGCTGCGGTCACGTTTACCAGGTAAACAAACCGATCGATTCCTGATCACCGTTCTTGTCGATCGGAAAATCAAAATACCAGCGTGATATGGCCGCGAAGATGAAGCAGTTATGTTACTTGATTCGTACTTCATGTTCGAGTCGAAGCTTGGGTGGCACAGGTTATTTCTTGCGGTGGAATCGGCGAGGGGAATTCGAACACTAGTTGTAGTGTTTGAATTTTTGAAAGAAATGGTCGCATGAGGATTGTAAGTTTAACGAACAATTTTAAATTTTGCCGCTTGAATTGAAAGTAAAGTTCATTTGAATTGCTTTCTTATATATTTCTGACGGTTTTAGATTTACCTGCTTGATTTATATCGGTTACGCTTCATGTTGGCAAGTCCCTCAAAATGGCGGCCAAACTTGGAGATTGCCGAAAATTAGGTAAGTTCACGGAGTTATAAAGTTCTCGTAAAGGTCGGGCCGCAAAGTTTTTTTCTGTAGTTATCTTTTCTATGGCACCTACTTCCTAGCCATGTTAGTTGGATCAGTTAAGAACGCCTCACTTTTTCAAAAATTTACCTTGAATTTGATCGGTTTTGGCGTGTTTGATTTAGGCGAACCGATAAGGTGTCATTCAAGTCTTCCTGTTTCCTTGATTGACACGTGATGTTTACGAAAGTCGCCTCGATAGATAAGATAGAGTTAATATACATGGCTGTGGTATTTGTTTTTTGCTGAGTTCCGTAGTTTTTTGTAAATTGTCCTCCAAAGTTGTATGAAATTAAAGTCTTGAAAAGTGTCACGACAAGCCTTCGCTCGAGTGAAATTTAATTTCCGTAAAACTCTGAAAAATAAAGAGATCCGATCAAACTGATTGTGGTTTTAGTATAGGTACATGAATGTCTTACAACACACGAGAAAGGAGCGAAATCCGTGTCTCAAGCAAAATCGACCGGACCGCTCTTACAGAGACACTCTCTTAAGCTGCAGACAGGATGAAAAGAGTATGTTAAAAGAACCAGAGATAATTTGTTTCAATGATTCCCTTTCACAATTACAGTATAACCCTCTGAGTGACCAGCATACAATTTCTCCTTAGATTATCACCTCTGAATCAGACATAGAAGTCAAAAGAATAACGAAAATGATCAACAACTAAAGAACCTCTTGATTGTCAGACAAACTCTTCTTGTTAGCACCTTAGGAAATGTATAGAGAGAGAGTATGGAGAATGTGTATACTGATGTTAGGATGTAAAGGGTGAAATAACATTAACTGAATTAGATTGAAAGATTTTAAGTTAAAGGGCAACAAATAACATCCAGTGCGGTCAATTTGAGCTATTAGCAGATTTACCCACAACCTGGCTAGTGGAAGCCCTTAACCCTTTAAGTCCCAAGATCTGATTGTTAATTCTCTCCTCCAGCTGCAACACATCTCCTTGTAAATTAGTTACCAAAATTTGGTGTTGGATGAAGATGACATCTTCCACCTGATTAGTTTGAGTATTCTTATTGCCTGTGTGCAGGTTAATGTTTGGATATTTTAGGGAGAAGTTACATGCTAATCACTTTTGGGAGTTAAAGGGTTAAGTCTATTCACTAATAAATGATGAATAAAGCCATCGTGGACCTCATAAGGCATGCTCTTTGATTGCTGGATGCTGTACATACATTGATTGCTGTAGGCTGGTGTGCATGTTTATGAAGAATTGTTAACATTTTGGAAATATTACTGTGTAGGTGAAAGTGAAAGTGAAGAAGACAGCAATGAGGAGGAGAAAAAAAAGAAACACAAGAAATCTACTAAAAAGAAATCAAGAAAAACTTGCCATAAAAAGAAAAGGTTAGCACTGTGAAGAGAGAAGATTCACTTACCCTAATACATTGCAATGGTATGCACAAGCCCTTCATCACATGCTAAGAACTGGATCAAATGATATTAACCCCTGACACTTAAGAGTGACTAGCATCTAATTTCTTCTACAATATCACCCCTGAATCCAACATTTAAAGGTCACCAGAGTAAATGATCACCAACTAAAGAAGCTCTTGATTGTTGAACAAAATCTCCTTGTTAGCACCTGAGGAAATGTATAGAGAACAATATGGAGGATACTCATACTGGGGCTAGGGTGGAGAGGGTTAAATCACTTGTGTCACTCTATACAGTACATTCACTATTGACTGTAGAGTCTTGAGCTACATGTGTTTGTATTGCAAAACTTGACCTTTTGACTGTTGTACATACTAATGAGCTTTTTTTGCACATGTTTTTTTTAGTGTATTTTGAAAAGTTGCATGCCTTTGTGCACTTTTTGAAATGCACTTTTCACATGCATTTTGGACCAAGCACCTCTGAGCTGTACTGTACCTTACAATGTCACCCCTGAATCAAACATCGAGGTCACAAGAAAAAAGGAAATGATCACCAACCAAAGATTATTAAACAAATTCTCCTTGTCAGCATCTTATAAAGAATAGGGAACAGTTTGGAGAATATACATACTGATGATAGGGTGTAAAGGGTTAAGGAACATTCAATTAATTTGTCTTCTTTTCATTATAGACAAAGATAAAGAGGGAGGCAATGGTGTCACTGGGCCTCTTTCACCGAAGCAAGACACAGGAAATCAAGACATTACAGAGTAAGTACAAATATCATCACAATCACAGATAGTGCTACTGATATCATGAACTTATGAATCTTGTCCTGTACAAAACAATTTTATTTTCATTTGTGGTAATTAAACTGAAAGTACTGGTAGATTATGATGTGATATGAGACTGGACCAGTTTATTCAGTAACTGATTAATAGGGACAGACAGAACAAGGACTAACACTCAAAAAGTCAGCTTTCAAACTCTTTACAGTGGCCGATTTACATTACCAACTCAGTTGATAATGCTAAATTACCTTGTTATACTCTCCCACCAATGTAGCACCACCATTTTTTTCACATCTTACCCCCTTTACTCAGTAACTTGTTTGCTGTTATGCAATCAGCAAGTATAGTGGACCCCAGAGAGACAAATGTTCAAAAAGTTTTCAGAAGGCAGCCAATTTGCGTTTGTTTCCACTGGTGAGTACTTGTATCATAATGGGCCAGTTTAAGAAACCTCAAACACTAGAGTTTCAAATGGAACACCAGTGTTTAAAATCAAACACTAGTGTCCAAAGCCAGAAGTTACTGCCCATATTTGTACACTAGTGTCCAAGATTAATAACTAATGTCTAAAAATTTGACTCTCAAACATTACTGTTCAAGTTAGGACACCAGATCCCCAAACCCTCCTCCAGTTACCATCTACCTATTTTTGCAGTCCTGAGAGGGTCTTCAATCAAACCTACAGAACATTACTATATTGACACGT